ATCAGCTCCAGGAGAATGAATGAGACTGTGGAAGCGCGAGGGCTCAGCAAGCACAGATTCTCCCCTCATTTTACAAAACAGAATTTTCTCCTTTGGGAAAAAAAAAATTCCACACTCTCTGTATCTGTAAAAGGTGACACGTTCACGTCTGGTCTTGGAAAGGGGTTCTGCACTCCTGGAACTGGTCATGGGGACACGCAGGTCTTGGCAGGGTGCAGCGGGAAGATGCACGCTCGCACAGTTCCATCAGAATGGCGTGGAGACCGCACGACCTTTAGAGAGGGTTTTAGATTTTTAAAAGGTAGGTTTTAACAACAAATTTTATACGTAAACTGTTTTGGAGAAAAAAAAAAAAAACAACTACAGACATATAAGCAAGACAGTGGCACTAAAATTTGTAATTCATTAATCTGTTTGACACTGCAATTTATGGCTTTTCTCTTGCCCCAAACCACGAACATACATCTCTTTGGGGAAACTTAACAGTTCGATTGCACTAAATAAAACTACTTCGAATAGAGGCCAAATTAATCTTTTAAAAGTGATAATAATCATCAGGTACTCAGTGAAATTGCATTTTTTCCGAAACCTAAAAGCTGTAGCTGGAGAAGCCCAAGGCCAAGAGAAGGCAGCGTCGGAGCCACACTTTTCTCCAGGGTTCACCATGCAGGCAACATTACCTTGTCTTTCCAAAGACACCTGCCTTATGCAAGGGGAAACCTGTGAAAGCTGTACTCAGAGGGAGGAGTTTTTCTTATCTAATTTGCAATTTCAAGAATTTAATTTGTAGGCAGATCTGTAAACACAGCCAACTTACTTACATGCACAGCAATATGAAAGCCACACTTGGAAGGTGATAAATACACAGCATGCAGACTGGGAGTGTCTAGAAAGGAAATGGCTGACAAGAGCAGCTTTTAGCTCAGACTTACTTTATATGAAATCAGAATTTCGATGTAACCAGGTCTGCGATAGAGACGGTCTGCATCAGCTTTTTGTATTAACAAAGTTACTGGCTCTTTGTGTGTCTCTGGGTAACTTTGCTTGATTAAACAGCAAAGCCATATTCTAAATTCACTGTTGAATGCCTGTCCCAGTCCAAATTGTCTGTCGGCTCTTATTTTTGTACCATATTGCTCTTAAAAATCTTGGTTTGGTACAATTCATAATTCACCAGAACTTCTTCATATAATTAAAAAACACACTAAATTAGTTTAAAATGAAGCAATTTATATCTTTATGCAAAAACATGTCTGTCTTTGCAAAGGACTGTAAGCAGATTACAATAAATCCTTTACTTTAATCACCTGTTGTTTTGGAGACAGTTCATTTGAAGGTCTAAAGAAACACCTGGGTTTTGTGCCCTTCTAAATCTTGATTATATATGCTTTTGCCTACATCCAAGATGGAGTAAGTTTGTTTCCCCTATGTTAGAAAGAGCCCTGTGTTAGTCATGTATCAATTATATTCTTTAGGGACTGATTAGATGCCTTCTTTCTTACTACTAATATTTGGTCCACCAAAATATCCTATAAAAGTTTAATGATAATAACTGTTACCATGTTGCTGCTAAACACTATTAATACATTGCCTCAGTTATATTCACAACCATATGAAAGCTTGTTCATTTTACAGACTTTGACACTCACATTGAGTAGACCAGATGCCTTGTCTGACTCCAGATTTCTTCTCCATGCCATCCTGTCTCATTCTCCATCCCCAGTCGCCTTGGGTTGTCAAGGGATTCAGCTCCCTACTGGTCATGATGCTTCTTACATTCCTTACAGGCTACTCTCCTTGATTCTATTCATATGAACCACAAAAGAGCAGTACGCAATTATCAAATCATTTTAAAATTAGAAAACATTTTTTTTTCCCCACAAGATAAATTCAAGTACAGTCACGCAGCACTTACTGACAAGGATGCATTCTGAGAAATGCATCAGTAGGCAATTTCGTCGCTGTGTGAATACCATCGAGTGCATGTATACAAACCCAGATGGTGTAGCCTGTTGCTCGTGGGTTACGAACCAGCACAGCACGTGACTGTTCTAAATACTGTAGACAACTGTAATACAATGTTAAGTGTTTGTGTATCTAAACCTGTCTAAACATAGAAAAGGTGCAATAAAAATACAGTATAAAATATTTTTTTTAAAAATAGCACACCCTTATGGGCCAGTTACCATGAATGGAGCTTGCAAGACTGGAAGTTGCTCTGGGTGAGTGGTGAGTGAATGTGAAGGCCTGGGCCATTACTATACACTAGTGTAGACTTTATAAACACTGTACACTTAGGCCACATTCAATTATAAAACAACATGAGATTAAATCAAGCACAAGAGAAAATGATGCAATCAAGAGACACAGGAAACATGAGATGTGTGTGGCTGCTGCTGGCGTAAATGGCACGCTGTTTTACAACAAACTTTTTATAAGCAGAAGGAATACACTCTAAAATGATGACAAAAACAATAGTAAATACATAAACCAGTAACAGCATTCATTTACCAAGTATTAGGTACTGTACATAATTATAAGTGCTCTTTTAAACTACTGACAGCTATGTTTATGCCAGCATCTCCACAAACACATGAGCAACGCATTACACAATGATGTTATGATGGCTACGATGCCACTACGTGACAGGAATTTTCAGCTCCATCATAATCTCACAGACCACCATCCCTTATGCAGTTCATTGTTCACCGAACGTTTGTTATACAGTGCACAACTCTACATTTTTAATGCATCATTTAACTTGTGATCGTCAAACCTCTCGCTTTCAGAAAAAGTCTCTTTGAGAGTTAAATTCAACCTCACTTAAACACAATAGATATATTTCTGGAACACCACATAGTCATTAAGCAGCACAAGGAAAAAAAAATAAAAGACTAGAGTTGTATGTGCAAATTTGTTTGTAAAGCATCTATAAATGAAGGTAATTTTATATCTTAAAATGTACGGAATTTGACCTATCAGGGAGCAGGGCTTTTCACAGGAGACCCTAACTCTAAACAAAAGCCATCGTGGGCTGTGAGCCCTCAGAGGCTAGCAGGAGGCCACACCAATCAGCACCCTTGATTAAAGTGGGTGCCCTTTCTGAACAGAGCAGGCTCAGTCTTAGTTCAAGTGTGACCATATTTCTAAGAATTTCTAAAAGTGCTCTCAGGCCCAAAGAATCCAGCTGCACACTTAGGAATCAACTAAGAACTAAGTTTCTGTCACCGAGATGGCCAGCTACTATATGCCACAGCAGTAGAAATTATGCATTGTGATGCATATATAGTTAGGGGTTGGTTTGCTTCTTTATGTTGAATGCCCTCAGGCAAATAAAAAATGTCCCTTTATATTAAAGTCAGCTCTAACATATTTACTGATAAACTGTGAGTGTACACAGACTAAAATGATTGATTATAAGTATTTGACACTTTAATTTCAAGTCATGTGATTGCTAGTGCAGCACTTTTCTTGGAAATAAAACAGTAGCTTCTCAAATAACACTGGTTAAGATTAGGATATGATCTTAATAATCAGTATGGACCAAGACCATATCGAAAGCAAAGTGAATGATGGGGTACACGATGGGGAACAGAATAGCAGGTGGTTAGCTGCGACCCCCACCAAAACTTAGTGACTTAAATCAACCACCATTTAGTATTTCTCATGAGTTTATGAATTGGCTAGAAGGGTTCTGTGATCTGGGCCAGGCTAGGATGAGTCAGGCTTATTCGTGCATCTGTGGTCAGCCAGTAGCCGAATGGTCTAGGATGGTTTTGCTCCATGAGGCCTCTCATTCTCCAGGGGGCTTCCCTGAGCATATTTTCATGATAGAGGCAATGCTAAGCCAGACAGTGGAAAGACAGCACACTTTTCAAGCCTCTGACTGCATCGAGCTTGCTCCTGTCCCACTGGCCGAAGAAACTTTGAGGTCAAGCCTGAAGTCAGCATCAGAGGGCTCCACCAAAAAGAGGGCATGGGTCAGGGAGGGGTGAAATTTGGGATCATTAAGTCAATCTACTGGCAATTACTCTGATATTTTTTCATAGAATTTACATTGCCAAGATAGTGGTAAGTTTTCAAGGTCTAAAACACCCATTTCTTTGGATCCCCGTGCCCTAGGCCAGCCTGTCTAAGAGGGCCATGGCTCCTGTGAAACTGGTGTGGGCTTGCTTGGCTCCTCCCTCTCTCTAAGTTGCCCCACCTACAGTGTTTCCTCAGTGGCTAACCCTGCTGAGCAAGGAGAAATCCAGACGCAGACACATGGCACTGAGCTGCCTCAATGAATCCCATGCCTTTCCTGCCCAAGTCCAAAGTATAGGTCCCTTGTTGGGCCAAAAGCAGAAGTATGCTTTCCAATCAAGCTGACCTTCTGATTGGAGAGAATTCTCCAAAGTATTTTTCCAAACAGTAGACTTAACCTGACATTAAAGCACGGGGACAATGTGCCGGATTACCCACATGGGGCAGTAAGAAATTACTGCCCAGACCAGTCAAGGGAAGAAGAGTGCTGACGAGCATCTGAGGAGACATGTGCAGAGCTAAGAGCAGGAAAGCTGCTTGCGGATGCTCTTCTGGAATAAGAGGGAGCAAAGCCACGAGGCTCAGGAAGATTCAAAGACATGGAGAACATCTGGCTGAGGAAGGAGTCACCAAGACAACTGCCTTTGAGAGACTTGACGGGAGGTGAGAAGGGGCCCAGCATGAGGCGAACGGGGAACAAGACAAGGCCAATGTTAGAAAGTCGGAGTGTGCCCCCAGGAAAGGCAGGGCGGAGAGAACGAGCAAGGAACGGCCTGTGGAGGACACTGGGGAGAAGCAGGGGGTGGCTAGGAGATGAGGGGGACGGACTAACCCCCACAGCCACTGCTGTCACCTGTCGGCTGCCTTCTCCCATCTTCTCCATTTGCTTAACCGTACTTCCTGCCCCGCACGCTTCAGGCACCTCTCATTCATTATCAGTTGTCACAACGTCCCCATGAGGTTGGTACCGCTCTCTCCACTTCATAGAAGGAGAATGAAGCATAAAGAGGTCACGTTAACAAGCCCAGTGTCACTAAGGTACAAAATAGTGAAAACAAGACTTCAGAATAGGATGCTGTTAACTCGAAACATACTTTTAGCCACTGTATTAGCTTCCTGGGGCTGCTGTGACAAGGTACCACAAACTCGGTGGCTTAAACGACAGGGATTTATTGGCTCGCAGTTCTGGAGGCTGGAAGTCTTGAGATCGGGATGTCTGCAGGGCGGGTTCCTTCCGCGGTCCGTGAGGAAAGGGTCTGCTCCCGGCCTGTCTCCCTGGCTTGTATGTGGCCGTCTTCTCCCCATGTCTCTTCAAATCGCCTTCCCTCTGTGCGTGTCTGTGACTGTCTCAGTGTCTAAATCCCCCATTTTTATGAGGATACTGGTCATACTGGATTACTGACTTCATCTTAACTAATCACATCTGCAATAATACTATTTCCGATCTGAGATACTGGGGCTAGGGCTTCAACATATAAATTTTGTTTTTGGGTGGGGTGAGGTTAATATTCAACTCCTAACAGCCATTATCCCCTCCTGGCACTCAGAGGCAAGACGGTGCAGCAGGAAAAACGTGAGTAGCCTACTGAACCGGAACAAAGCTCTTTACTCTTGAGTGCCTCCATTTTCTCATCTATAAAATGGGGTCATTTCTCCCGGCTCATTTAGTCACCCTAAAGAAAGAATGAGCTAAATATATCCACCGCAGGCACAGACGATCAATCCACGGCTTTGCCTGCCCCTGCCCTCCACTGCGGATGCCCCCACTGCCGCACAGGAAGGCAGTGCAGCTCCCCCAGGACTTGGGCTCTGTTCCCACCCGGCGTCTCCTTTATAGGCCCTTGGGTGACCCCATCCGATGCAGGCCCCACAGCCCCGCTGGAAACAGAAAGCACAAAGTCTGAGTCCCCGCTTTTGCCCCAAGCCCCCGCTGTGCCTCTGAATGAACACGGGCTGCAGATGTGCTCCAAGCAGCTGCAGCTGGGGCTCGACCTGGGGGCCGAGGGGCCAGAGCCCGAGTGAGGCGGGGCCACTGCTCATGGCTCAGCAACACGGATGCACTGAAAACAGACCACAGTGCGCCCCACTTTTCTTCAGGGAAATGAACATGATTTGCCAAAGGAAAGAGAACACCTCACGATCCCATTACTGAATTCACTCTGGGCCAGGCCAAGGCCAGGGAGAGGCTCTCTGCCTGGAGACCCTGGCAAGCCAGGCCACACAGTCCTATTCACAGAAAAATGACACCCCTAGTCCTACCCTGTTCTTCACCAAATAACCCCAGGAAGGGTCTGCAGGGCTTGGGGCTGTGAGAACCGTGCCATCGTTTTTCTAAGGCTTCATCACCACCATCCTACAGAACGCAAATGGCCCCGGCAACAAAGACCAAGCGACAATCACAGGAGTCTCAGGGACAAGCAGTTCCCATTAGCTGAGCATGTACTATATCCTGGACGTGCTATTTGTATTAGTCATTTCGACCCAAACCTCTGGGTATCACATTCTTTTTAGGAGGCAGGAACAGAATCATAGGATCACAGACTCGATTTAACTTCCCCCAACCACACAGGTAGCCAGACTCGGTGGCGGCTTACCTGACCCGGTAAGTAGTGGTAAATGAACTTCGGGGTAACAGCAGGTGGGGTCCACCGCACTGTGAATGATGGAAACTTCCCTCGAGCCGACAAAGCAATCGAGTCCTGGTGCAGGGGGCCTTCTCTGTGTCATGCCCTGTGGGGACGCACCGATCAGGATACTGCCAGGAACTTGGTCCCTGTGCTGTCCTGAGCCCGCTACGGCTGCTCACAGGTTTGTACTTCTCTGCGGAGGCCTTTCGTAAAGAGAGGCTCACCAGTAACCTCTTCTGACAAGCCACGTTTCCCTCCTGCATCCCTATGCAGTGGGCAAGGCCAGGAAATGACAACTCAGAACACAGGACACTGGGGTTGGGCCCCCACCCCCTGGCCACGCTGGCCCACAGCACAGGCTGGCTGTGGCCACGTGGCCCTGGCTGCCTCGGCACTCCCCCTTCTCCCCACTGGGCCCACAGCTCAGGATTTTAAGTTACATTATACTAGGATTGTCCCTATTTTTACATACAATATGGTTACTTTTCAACAGGCCTATTTCCCCCTGTACATACCTGACCCCAAACTTGATACCCTACATGGTTCAGGTAAAGGTGACTTCAAACCTGATAACCAGTAAGCTCCTGAATCAACTCGTCAGGGGAAGAGGCGACACACACATCCTCCTGTGACTAATTCTTTGGAGAGTAGTCTGACAGGAACTTCCTGTGGGGAAAAAGAACACACTAAGCCCCAGAGCAGGCCCTGGAGCAGGGCTGGCTGTGGAATCCTGGGGTCCCTAAAAAGGAGCTCCACATCCCAAGGACTCCGGATCAGGGACAAACGGAAAGGAAAGTGTCCTCTGCCCCCAGAGGTTGGCTGAGCCCAAGCCTGAGGTCAGAGGCAGAGAAGGGTGAAGGAACACCGCAGCGGGCCCGCCCACAGCTGGGGAGCCAGCACAAGCAGGGGCATGGCTGAGGCTCCTCCAGGAACCGTCTGAGTGCCTGATCTGCTTCCGTGAAGCCCAGCTTGAAACCATGGAGAGATGAGCGCTCAGGCCTGCAAACCGAGGGAGGGCTGTGTGCGGACAGAGCTGTGCAGCCCAGCTGGTCCGGAGGGCTGGCCTCCACGGGTCTGCTGCAGCCCATGCTCAGGCCGCTGGGGGCAAGGCCCAGCCTCGATCCCAGTCCGGTCACACGGGCGTGGGGAAATGCCTGTTCACGTAGCTGGAGGAAGCCCTCCAGGATGTCACACGTCGGGGAGGACCACTGCCCCCAGGAACACGTCCTGCTGTAGATAAACAAGGCTCCTTGCGAATAAATTCTACCTGGGAGTGTGTGTGCCAACGTCAGAGGAAAATGAATTCCCATCCACTGGCCGGCAAAACATAAAACATTACAGAGGGAACGAATTCTACCATCTTCTCCACTTTATGACACACAGCAAATAGTAAATTATACTTTATTTCACTTACAGAGACCTTGGGGCAAAAGGGTGGTGTCTGGGAAATAGAACAGGTGAGAAACACCGAGAAGCCTGTTATAAATATGCTGGTGTTTTCAACTTAATGTGAGCGTGGGGTCCGAGGGTGGCATCTAGCAAGGAGCCCCCACCTCTGTGCTGCCCTCTCGGTTTAGTCCAGGGGACTCCCCTGGCCGGCAGCCCCTCCTACCACGTCCGCCGGCGCCAACCAGGGCCACGAGCCACCCTACAGACACAAGTACAGGTCCCTTTGAAGCCTCAGCAGCAGGTTGCGGGGAGGTGTCCGGTGCGTGCTGGCCAGCGGGGGAGGTTAGGATGGCAGAAGCCCCCTCCCCCCGACTCTGCAGAATGGATAACTAAAAACCACGTGTCCCGAGGCTTGACGAATGAAAAGTCCACTCTTAATCCTGACATTCTCCCGCTCCACATCTACACAGTGCTGTGCAGTGTGTCCCCCCCCTCCCCATCCCTGGAGTGCCAATCTGGGATCTGTGATTCCCGCGTGTCCAGGTGGCTGTGGGGTCCACTCGGGAGGAAGACGGGAGCTTCCCATCCCCAGGCCGGTCCTGGGGTTACAGGTCCCTCTGGGGCCCTCACAGGCCAGTGCTACAGCAGCTTGACGTAATTCTGTGGAATCAGCCCCCTCTTGCCATTCAGAGTCCCTTCTAGCCAGCCAGGTTCCCTCGAGGTTTGCACTGAAAAGGAAAGGAAATCACTTTTTACCAAAATGCCCCCAAGTACTTGCTCCCTGTGCATTTACTGTACCACGATGGATCATAAAGGCTCAACCAACAGAAGGTGGGGCCACAGTGTGCCAAGTGCGGCTCCACAGCCAGCAATATCCTCCACCTGCAGGTGTCTCTGCTGGACAGCCCACCTTCCACGGCCCAGAATGCCGTCTTGACACAACATCGATCTTGTGGACATCCTTCAAGGTCAGGATGGAGAATGCGATGCACAGAGAATTTAAGAAACTGGTCCGGAGTCACACGGAAAGTGGAAAAGCCAAGAACTGATCTAAGAAAAAATAACTCCGGAGCTGACAATCCACAGCTACCTGCGATCACACTGAGACTGCTGTGTGCGCACATGCGTGTGTATGTGCGTCTGTACACACGGCTTTGGGTGTGTGTATATGTGTGTATGTGCGTACGGCCTTGGGTGCGTGTGTATGTGCATACATGTGTGTGTGAAGAGACACGCGTTCAGTTTTTTAGGAGAACTGCAAGTCACACCTAGGGACTTCAGAGGTGGAGGACTTCAGTCTCCAGCGTCAGATGGCTACCAGCCTTCTCCCTATTATCCACGCTGGCAGAAGTGAATCTGGTTGAGGACCCGAACCTCATCTACACGTCTGTGGGCCCAGAGGAAGCATCCCTGTACCCAGTGTGGTTCTGAATGATAGGTTCAGGGTGAGCACAGGGCTCCATTCTAGCTATCGAGATGCGAGGGCAGGTAAACCAGTAAAGAAGATCTCGAGAACTTTTCTGAGTCTTTAAAAAAAAAAAAAAAATGACACAAAGATGTGAGGCACCCCCCTCTGCTGGGGCTGAGTGTGGCCACTCCACAAGGAACACCAACCCGATGCCCCCGCCCACAGCTGGGAGCGGTCCAGCCGAGGTGGGAATACTGTGGTCTTTGAGAATGTGAGTTAACTAACCCCCGAACTCCCTGCCTCCAGGTTTTACTGTGTGAGCTAATCCATTTTCATGACTGATTTAGCCAGTTGTGTCGGTTTTTGTTACTGCAGCTAAAGGCATCCTAACAGGTACACCTGTTGCCAGAGTTACTACCTCACAAACAATACCGTGTTAGGGATTTCAGAGGCTCCCAACGAATCGTACAATGCGAAAATTCATCCTTTCTCCAACGGCTGGGTTTCTGTGCTACCATCTCAGCCTTCCCTTCTGCCAACTATGTCGCCATGCTCTCCTCCCAAAACTGCGTGCACGTTACGGTGGCAGGGACGATCTCGCTCCTACTCAAAGAACAAAATTTCTCCATAAAGTATAATTCTGTCATATGTGCGTTTTGTTGTTGTTTGTTTTCTGACGCTGTCAGGAGTCCCTGGCTCTCAAGAGCACATATCGCACAGATATAGAAATCTCTTCTAAATGAGGCAACTTGCTTTCTAAAAAAACAATCACCCGCAAATGCGGCATTACTGACAACATACCACTATGCATTGTGTTGATAGATTCCATATATGCCAAACATTCTGGCTAATCAGCCATTCCAATCCAAGCATCTAAGGTTCTCACTGCTCCCCCAGAACTGTTTTGGGCAGCTCCACCCACACACAACATCACTGTTTCCACAGCAACCAACGAATTTCATAATGAGCAGGACTGGAGAAGAAAGAAATCGAGAGCCGGGGTGCGGGGAGCGTGGGGGGAAAGACATACACTCAACCATAGGAAGAATTTGTGAAATATTATGCTGGGCTTAGCTCCTAAATGCTTGTGTGTGAATATTAAACACTCAAATTTCACATCCTTGCTTCAGTGTGCAAAGTCAATACCCGTTATCTAGAGATTTGCACACTACTCAAATCAGCAAAAATCACGCAGGGCACAGGAATAGTGAGGGAATTATAAACCGAAATTTTTCGATAATGGCACTCTTTTATAACTTAGATTTGGCAAACCTGAAGCATTTGGGAGGCTTCCTTGGGACTCTGGGAGAGGAAAACCAAGGATGCGAATCAGAAATATTTCTTAACTCCAAATGTCACGAGCTTCTTTACATCAGGAGAAAGATACCCTGAATGAAGACCCGCAAGAGTTAGAAAGGCTGGAAAACAGCCACGATTAAAGCAGAGGCACAGCCTCCTGGCATCCAGTTCCGGAAAAGACAAATGGGCCAACTCTCTCCTGCCCAAAGCGTCAGGCACAGACTTGTGACCCTGACGACCCTGCAGCCAGTGACGGCTCGCTCTGGGTTGTAGACATTTTGGGGTGACAGACTACGTCCTACCACAAAGCTCCCACAAACACTTACCATCCTCAAAAATTGCTCCTATTTCAAAAGATAACTCGGAGCTGTGCTCGGCTTCACACGGGTACACGGCCCGAGCCTTCCGGCTGACGACGCTGAGAAGGAACACAAAAGACACGCGGTAAAACGGGGAGGAACCGGGAAAGAGCGGCCTCACCTCCCCTTCATCTCTCATCTCCCACATCTCGTTTACTCGCCTTCCACAAAAGAAATGAGCAGAGAAGTGAACATCGGGCAAAAGGACAGTCCTCGATTTCCAAGTAAATGACGGGTTTCAAATTCAAATCTTTCGTTAGGGAGCCTCTCTGAGTAGCTGTCACTGAACCTCTTCACCTACTTCTCTCTGCCTGGAGGGATGCCCCTTCCCGTGGCTCATCGACACTGGAGCCACAGGAAGGGTTTACTTGCTAAGCTCTCGGTTGATCTATTAGGAGCGACACCGGTGTCTTGGGACAGAGCAGGTCAGTGGAAGATCGGCTCGCACACACTCGGTGGCTTCAGCAGTGCACCGTGGGCACGGGGCTGTCGGAACTGACGGTCCTCACGCCATTCTGGAAAGGGGCTTGCTGTTCTCACAGGGGTCTTCTTTACTTAGACCCCTCACTCCTGCCCCCAAAGCCATCTCAGGCTCAGCTTCTTACCACCTGTCAAAACGTCCTAGGT